AGAACTTGAGTGTCACTTCTCCAAGAACGAAGCGTGCTGAAATCAGAACACTGTATCGTTATGTAACTAGGCACGGACGCCAGTGGGGCAGCCGGGAATGTGCGTGCATTGTTTAAACGAATAAATATTATCATTTGGAACTAAGGTAAATTGAACTCTGTGGCCTTTAGAAATTATTCAGATGACTTACTTGGCAAAATTTATTCTGCTTTTGCTTAGTTTTGAGAGAACAGCTCTATAAGGCACTCGATCGCTGGTTTGTGTAATACCTCTTTGTCTACATGCTTTCCGTCACAGAAGCTGCACTTCTTCAGAAAGGCTATATATGACACAGGGATTAAAAAATAAACAGTTGAATTCATCCCTGTGCTTCTATGGCATCCTGGCAACCAAGAGGGGATGGAGGGAGACTTACCAGAACAGGAAGACCAGGTGACGTTGCACAGGAAGTGATGTCATCATACTGCGATGTCACGGCGATGCTCTGGTATTTGGGCAAAAACTCTATAGTAAAAATGTCTTCTACCAGAGAGTTTTTGCCCAAACACCAGAGTGTTGTCCGGAAGTCGCTGGTATGATGATGTCACTTCCTATGCAACATCACCTGTGCCTTCCTCTGTCTCCTGGCAAGTCCCCCTGCTGGTCAGCTGATTGGTGGCAGGGGGTGGGGTCTGGCAGTGGAGGACCCCCTCCTTCACAGGGGGGCTGGCAAGCCTAGCCCTCACATAACCCAGAGAATACCCATGCTTTTCAAATAATAATAATAATTAAAAATACAGCCGTCAGAATTTGATGATTTTAAGTTTCTAACGTGCAGGTAACAGTTTCAGGTAAAGTCAAATCCCCATTCAGGAGTAAATTGTAAGGAAGACGGGAATAATATGGATTCGTTGAAACTTCCTAATGTCTTCCCGTTGGATGGGACTGAGAGATCAAGATGAAGAATAAGGCAGAGCCCTTTCAAACCCTTTCAGCATTCTAGTGGCTAACAGATTAGCTTGCCCACTGAGGCTTGTTAAATAACAATTAATATTCAACCTTGAAATGGGAGGAAGGTGAACACTTCATGTTCCACATTAAAAAAAAACAAGGCTGGTCTCAGAAAGACAAAGGGAGAATTCTTTCTTTCCTTCCTCGCCAGCGGCTTTCGTAAATCATAAAAAACTTCCCGTGAGAATATTCTAAGCAACGACAGTAGCCGAACTTCCCCCCTTCATTTCACATTAAATAACCCACAGATTATAAAACAGATTCACCCTCCCCTAACCTGACAGAAAAGTTCCATATGCTTTCTTGCCACCCAGTCTTATTTTGCCGTTTCTTTTCATTCACAGAGGCACAGCAAAAGGTATTCAAAGCCAGGTTTTATCTGGCTTCCGGTCAGCTTTTCCCCAATAACACTACAAAGAAAAAACATGTATCATAGGTTGCCCATATCCAGGTGTGGCCTGGAGCTCTCCCGGAATTACAAGTGATCTCCGGACTACAGAGATCAGTAAGAAAATGGCAGCCGGGGGGGGGTGGGTGCAGACTCTACGGCAGTGTACCTCGCTGAGGTCCCTCCCCTTCCCAAACCCTGTCCTCCCCAAGGTTCCACTCCCCCATATCTCCAGGAATTCCCCTTCAATTAAAAAAGGAAAACCCAACAGTGGTGTTACAGTCAAGTAAAGCACTTCTCAGAATGAGGGCGGACAACAAAATAATGCCCCGGAACATCTTAAAACAGGCTGCAATTCCAGAAAATGCTGACCACTTGTCTGGAGAGCAGATAGTGATATGCTGGTTATCCTATATATTTGTCACTTACTTTGGTAGATGGGTTAGGTGGCTTTTTATATTTCTCTCAAGAAAGATTTCTGAAGAAAACTCTTTGATAAGCGGTCATTCCTATGCAGGTTTGAGGAAACTGTTTATTGGGTAGCTGATGTGGATCAACATTAAATACCCAAGCTTGCTATGTTGTTGAAAGAATTAGGGATAAATTCATCTTGCAAAAAACCCCAACAACCCTAGGTACATGCTGGGATCAGCTATAATAGCCTATGACATTATAAGGGAAAAGGTATCAAGATAGATAGCCATGCCCTGACCTGGATAGCCCAGGCAAGCCCGATATTGTCAGATCTTGGAAGCTAAGAAGGGTCAACTCTGGCAAGTACTTGGAAGGGAGACCTCCTTGAAATACCAGCAATCGGGAGATATTTCTCCCGACCTCTCTGAATCTCCTCTAGGCCCTCAATAGGCGTCAGTCAGCAGAGGTTGCCATGACTTCCAGGTCACACAGTCAGTCAGCAGAGGTTGCCATGACTTCCATGTGCACACACACACATTAAAAAATACAACCCCCCCCCCCACAAAAGATGGGTTTGTCTGTAGCAGTTGAAAAGAGCAACAGTCCAAGAGCAAGAGTCCAGTAGCACTTCAAAGATTAACAAAATATGAGGCAGGGTATGAGATCTCTTGAGTCACTGCTCACTTCTTCCCTTGAAGTTAGTCCTTAAGGTGCTACTGGACTCTTGCTCTTTTCTACTATAAGGACAAGTGTGCTGTCAAAGTCGCAATTGACTGATGGCTCTCCCATCAAAGGGTCTGCAAGGCCTTTGTCTGCACAGCAGCCCTGGTTTCCCTTGGTGGCTTCCCATCCAACTATTAACTGCGGCTGACCCTGCTTAGCTTCCAAGATCTGACAAGATCAGGCTATGCTGTGCTGCTGCAATACGATACCTGTTTTATATTCTACCCAATCAATCTAATGGAAGATAAAATATTTTCCTGCCCATTTGCAGTGGGACTTAGCAATGAGACAGCCTAGGGGCCCCCAACCTTTTCATGCTTGTGGACACCTTCAGAATTATAACACAGTGTGGTGGGCACAGCCACAAAATGGCTGCCACGGGAGGTGGAGCCAGCCACAAAATGGCTGCTGTGGCTGACCTTCAGTCGCGCAGTGAAGATCCTTGTGCTGTGCTGGCAACTGCTGCCAAATTAACATTTTAAAAAATCTGCACAGCCAATCGAATCTCCGATCGCCAGTCGGAAGCCCTGCTGAGCAAGAGCCCCACCTGGACCCACCCACTTCCTAAGAACACTTGGCAGGCACCAGGAAAGGTGCTGGCAGGTGCCATGTCAGGGACCCCTGCATTAGCCCTTGCATGCCTAACTCGAGAAGCATTTTCGATATGCCTTTGGCTATTATCCTCCACAAAAGCTTCCATTCAAATGGATTTAAGCAGCCAAGCTATGCGCAGGGGTGCAGCCAGTTTTCCAGACGGTGCTGGGAGGTATGTCTCATCTTTTCTGGAGCAAGGTGTCCCTTAGAGGCCATTGAAAGTTTTTGAGATAGCATCACAATCCGCATGCCTATCAAAGTTCCCACTGACATCAGGGGAACGGAAAATCAGGGACAAAAGGAAAATAGCTGCTTTCAAAAGAACTAACCCCCTAAAGAAGTCAAGACACACTTCCCCAGGAGTTTCCAAGCTCTCAAGTGCTTGAACGGATGTGGCCACCCTTAAAACATTGTGATGGCTCACACCAAAATTATTGTCTGAACCAAGGTGGGGGGAGGGGATTTTCTAGACACCCTTATAAAAGAATGGATTTCTAGTGAGGGTTCTTCTGTCTCGGTGGCAATGCAAGCACATTGGTGGGGAGAATGACATCACCCAGAAGTGACATCATCACCACCTGGTGACGCTCTGGCTTGAGGTTAAACTCTATGGTTTGAGGGCAATTTTACCAGAGTTTTGCCCTCAGCCCATCGCGTCCCTCACAACAGCACCAATGTGATGACATCACTTTTGGGTGACATCATGTCAGGGACGTCACGCAGCACGTGACTGTTTGGGGGTGGGGTTTTCCCCGCCGGCCAGCTGGCGGGCAACAGGGAGAAGCCCCCAAAACCGGGAAAACCCCTACCCAGACCTGGGGACTGGCAACCCTATTCCTCCCATTTCTAGTCAGCGGCTGTGATCCAACAGTGGACTCAGTCCTTCTCCTGCAAAGCTGGGGATCCTCTACGATAACTAAATAATTGTAAGTAAATTCACCTGAGGTAAATTCCTAGGCCTAAGAATCTTCAGAGGAGCAAGACAGATATTAGTCCTGTGTGCCCATCCAATCTGCACACAGGAAATCACGACCGCACTCAGCAGAGTCCACACAGCTAAGGGCCCCTCGCATCGCCTTTCCTATCTGTATGTTGTCAGCCAGGTTTCCATACCACAGGAAGTCTGAGCAGCAACCTAGCCTTTGTGACTTAAAACATCTGACCTAGGAGAGACACAGTAGCCTGACGTATAGACTGCATCATGGTGTGTTTTTTTTACTAAACAACAGGTCAGGGGGAGAATGGGGTGGGTGGGAGGGCCTTTGGATTCCACCCTTTGGGTACGATGATTAGGATGCTAGCCTTCACTTGAGGTAGGGCCTGGGGTTGCCAAGCTCCAGGTGGCGGCCAGAGATCTCCTGGGATTACACCTGATCTCCAGGCAACAGAGATCAGCTCCCCTGGAGAAAATGGCCGCTTTGGAGGGTGGGCTGTATGGCATCATACCCCACTGAATCCCCTCCCCTCCCCAAACCCCACCTGCCTCAGGCTCCACCCCCAAAATCTCCAGAGCTGACAACCTTAATCGTTAATTCCCACACCCACAAGATGATGGAAGGATTGGGTGAATATGGCTATGCTCTTGGTCAATGTTCCCTCTAAGCTGTGGAGTCTTGTGTGCAAAAATTCTACTTTGTGAGCTACTGGCATTAAAGTTGTGAGTGAGCGGTTTGGCTACTGCATAAATTAGTGTGCTCTGGAGCCATCCTGTCTGAGCGAGGACAAAAATGTGTGAGCCGGAGGCTAAATAACTGTGAGCTAGCTCACACTAACTCAGCTTAGAGGGAACACTGCTCTTGGTTATCAGAGGCTCCGTGCAGGAGCTGAAGGGAAAGAAGAAGAAGAAGAAGAAGAAGAAGAAGAAGAAGAAGAAGAAGAAGAAGAAGAAGAAGAAGAAGAAGAAGAAGAAGAAGAAGAAGAAGAAGAAGCCCACTCGCCCAAATGCAGACCTCAGGTTTCCACAGCATTTGCTACACACTCAGTTTAAGACAAAGGTTAAAACAAGACAACTCATTAGCCTCAGTCTAGCTGACATTAGTCGTGATGGACCACCTGAGTCCATGCATGCCTACTCAGAAACAAGGCCCACTCAATTCCACAGGTCCTAGCGCCAAGCCAAGTTTCAGCCTACATTCCCTTGAAGGCAGACAGCTTCACTAATTTGAATGAGGTTGGAGTCATTATCTCTATTGCAGATCCATTATCTATGACAATCCATCTTTGTCTGGGTTTAAATGTCGCACAGTTTGTGCTTTGCAGTGATTACATCTGCTTTCAAGGCTTATTTTAGGTTGCGTTTGTTGGCTACACTTAAGACAACAAAATATGATAAATATAGTATTTACAAAGTTCTTTTTGTGTGTGAGCAAAACAAAATGGCCTCAAAGACAACCCAGTCGCGATACAAACTTCTGAGAAAACAGGAAAACCGTCTCCGATTCCCTTCATACAAAATAATTGCCCACTTTGTCTACACAGTAGAAACTGAAAAGGCAAAAAGTTTATATATTTTGATACATATATGCACAAAACATATACATATATGCATGTACCTGGAGCTGGACCAACCCCAATTAAAATTTCAACCAGTCTCCCCCCGAATGTTGGGGATCAAGAGGTCAAAGTTTAGAATATCAGTTTGTCGGGTGTGACCGGCTCCAGTATAAACAAGCAAGGAGAACACACACATACTCACATGTGGGATATGCTAATGCATATGCCCATGTGAGAAACACATTGAAATTCATGACATCCTTCAAGAATATCCATGTCGGTAGCTTGACAAGAAAAGTCCTCTTGGGGTCATCCACTCAAAAAATATTTGGGGGAGGGCGGGAACAACGAGAGTTTTCCACAATCAGCCACACAACTTTTTCAGTTTTAAATAATCGAATTTTCCTTGTCGTGGCAGGTTTTCCCATTTAAATGTTCACTGGCGCAGTCGTGATTGGAGGTGAAGCTCTGAGCATCTGTGATTGAGGAGACAGTGTAGGAAGCTGAGCGAATGGCGTCCGAGTGAGCAAAGCTGTTATCAAATTGGATCTTGTATTGATTCCAGTGCCTTCGGATAACAGACTGGACCTATTCCAAGGAACAGGAAAACAATCAAACTGTAGTACAATATTGAGATTCATTCTTCTTGTTGTTCTAGGGATACAGTTCTTTAAGGCTTGTGAGCTGCTTTAGGCCCATTCTGTATCTAGCATTCGCTCCGTTGTTTTACCAAACCCACACTGGAACAGAAAAAGATGTGGCTCAAAACCACATTCAAATACACCGGGCCAACGCCATACTGACTGCAGGGTCACCCCTGAACAGCCATAAAACGGCCATAAACCCCTGCAGACAGTACCACACCTGAACAGCCATAAAAAGGTCATAAATCCCTGCAAGATAGTACCATAAAACCAAGAGATAAACCCAACCATCAAAGAAAATGAAAGTGGCATGCAATGCAGAGGGGAATTTCTGTCCCAACGTGGGTTTGGTAAAACAGCAGAGCGAATGCTAGATGCAGAATGGGCCTTCAAAATCATCAGAGTGGAAGTGTGGGGAATACTTCTTAAAATACCACCGACACATACATGTGCCACGTCACACTGAAAAAAGTCATCTTGTATGCACAATATTGAAGGAAGCACAACACCTTGATTATCTAATGAAAGGAGCTTTGATTCCTGAACACTTATGCCTCCAAAAATCTTGTTGGTCTCTAGACCTGAATCTAGCGGTTCTATTGCAACCCAGCACGTCTACCCTCTGAAAACACCTTGGGTTTTATAAAATTTAATACCTAACCCTGGCAATTAATTTTTAACAGGTGGAATGTGATAAGCCGCACTGGCTCCCGTGAGACCAGAGGCAATCAGCAACGGGGTCCTCCTCCTCGGTGTGAACACCAATGGAAGCTTTGGCAGATTCCCCCCCCCCAAAAAAAAACACAGAGACCAAGCAAATGGGAGTGAACAGCTGAGATGTCTCAAAGGGAGAATGCCACCAAAGCTTCACACCGAAGAGGAGGGGGATAAGAGAGCCCTCTGCATTCAAATCCTCACCTGCAGACACTTAGAATGTTAAACCACCAACAGGTCAACCGATGTTTCCAGGCTGCTTCGCAACACAACAAACGAACTACTCTAGATGGTTTGGCCATCAATGATAATTAGAGCTAGGATTCCCAAACTATGAATGGACCTCCTTAAGATGACATACGTGGCATGTAAATTCCTTGCTGGTCTTGCCCTCAATCACCCGCTTTCTCACCTCCAAAGATGAAGAGATTTATTCCTTGCCCTTCACTCGGAGTCTTGGAGCGTCTTACAATCTCCTTTCCCTTCCCCTCCCCACAACAGACACCCTGTGAGGTAGGTGGGGCTGAGAAAGCTCTGAGAGAACTGTCCTTGAGAGAACAGCTGTGCCAGAACTATGGCTTGCCCAAGGTCATCCAGCAGCTGCAAGTGGAGGAGTAGGGAATCAAACCTGGTTCTCCCAGATTAGAGTCCGCGCACTTAACCACTACACCAAAGCACTGGAACTTGGACAGAAGCACGTTCCCATGACAACATCACCAAGTGATGCGACCTAATCCAGATGCTCCTGTGTTTGACAAAGAGGTCCCCCCTGTCTTCCTTGGTGTGTCTTTCCCTGTTTTAAGCCATGTTGTGGCCCCCCAAGGCACTTTTACCCCATTTATCTATCACCAATGTGCCCAATCTCTACTAAGCCTTCGCCAGCTCAGCTCTCTAAACCCTTGCCTTGTTTAATTAGACTCAGGGAAGTTCAAACTGTCCCATCTGTGAGACATCAGAGAATCCCTCAATGAAGAATCCCTCAACAAGAGATTCTAATATTTACGCACGGATAAAGGTGACTGCTGTTTCATATGAAAGGAAACTGCAATAAAATTATCTGTACAATCAAGGAGAAAAGGAAAGTCAGGCTTTGAGAATGAATGGTCTGTAGGCACCGGCTGTAGCTCATCTACAGTTTGGTGTAGTGGTTAAGAGTGCAGACTCTAATCTGGGAGAACCGGGTTTGATTCCCGACTCCTCCACATGCAGCTGCTGGTGTGACCTTGGGTCAGTCACAAGTTCTTTCAGAGCTGTTCCCTCACGAGCAGTTCTCTCAGAGCTCTCTCAGCCCCACCTATTTCACAGGTTGTCTGTTGTGGGAGGGGAAGGGAAAGGATATTGTAAGCCACTCTGAGATTCCTTCAGGTAGTGAAGGGCAGGGTATAAATTCAATCTCTTCTTCTTCTATATAGTTATGATTTCTTGTTTTTATTTTAAATCAAAAAAAGGGGGCCACACAGGTCCCAAACGAAGAAGAGCCCCCCCCCCATGATGGTACTGTGGAAAAGAAAGTAGTTAGTTTATTGATAATGTAACATCCCTTACATGTTTCACACATTGTTGTCAGAGGATCTGCAATATTACATATAAAAATGTGCCATTAATAATATATAATTATCTTGCTGACCAATACCCAGAATATGAAAAACAAATTTGAAAAGAACAAAACATTTTCAGATAGATTTGTGCAGGAACAAACACTTAACCTTTTGCAGAGCGGCCCACCTTATGGTTACGAGGTTTCATTTTCTTGCTCATGCCCAGTTATTAGTGCTCCTTTTTCATTTCCATTTTTTAATATTGGGAATATCGTTAAGATAATTATATTTTGTTAACGGCATTTTTAATACAGTATTGCAGATCCCTCGACAAAGCAGTGTGAGGAGGGGTCATTATATTATCAATACACTACTTTCTTCCCCGCTGCAACATTACACAAACCTTTTTTTTTTTTTGCTTCTGAAAATGCACTTTTCAAGATTGCTTTATAAAGGAGGAGACCAGTATAGAGGAAGGGGAGGCAGGGTAATTTTAATCCTTTTGACCTTTGCCATTTTCTTTTGGAAAAGAGCCACTTCCTCAGCTGTTCCACCCATACTGGGAAGAAATATGAGTTCTCCCCAGCATGATTAAAAGCAGCTCAGAGGCACTTTTTCCCCGGGGGGCGGGGGACACAGTAAAGGAAGAAAGAGCAGGAGGAGGAGTGTATTTATACCCCACCCTTCACTAGGAATCTCAGAGTGGCTCACAATCTCCTTTCCCTTTCCCTCCCTACAACAGACACCCTGTGAGGTAAGTGGGGCTGAGACAGCTCTTTTGAGAACCATTCCTGAGAGAACAGCTCTGAGAGAACTGTGGCTCGCCCAAGGTCACACCAGCAGCTGCATGTGAAGGAGTGAGGAATCAAACCCGGTTCTCCCGGATTAGAGTCTGCGCTCCTCACCACCAGTGCTCCCTCTAAGATGAGTTAATGTGAGCTAGCTCACAGTTTTTTAGCCCCCGGCTCACACATTTTCCTCTGAGCTCAGGAAGGATGGCTCCAAAGCAAACTGATTTATGCAACAGCCAAATCACTCGCTCACAACTTTAATGCCGGTAGCTCACAAAGTAGAATTTCTGCTCACAGGACTCCACAGCTTAGAGGGAGCATTGCTCGCCACTACACCAAACAGGCGCTCTGCCTGGAGAAAATGTTCCCCTCTCTACCAATGCCATCCTCCTCCTTGAAAAAGCAATCCTGGACGTTGCATTTGTAAAAGAAAAAATAATATTTAACATAAAAAATAAGCATAAACATGGAAGGAATTGTAATGTGTAGATGAGTGAGTGCACAGCCTCTGAAATGAAGGAGGCCTGGCCAATTCCTTGGATGGGAGAATTAGCTGGGGAAAGGCCATTCCAAGCAACTAGGAGAAAGGACAGGATGCCAACGTACTAAACATACATTGCACAAATATTTCAGGTGATCAGCAGGGCGCGAGACCTCCTAAAAGCTATGATTCCGCTTACGCTGGCAAGATCTGATCTGTATTGCCATAAAGCTGATGGGAAACCATTTTCCTGAACAAAGTTCCACATACTTTTTCTACCTTGGGTAAAAATACCTCGGGTAGAATGAGATGAAGGCACCCAAGGCCTGTTTCCACTCGCTGGAAGGATGTCATGTTTTACGATTGTTTCCGTTCATACAATGGGGCAGGCCACCTGTGCAACAGGATGTTGGATTTATTTACCACAGGCCTTGATAGGATGGAAATGGAATCCAGCTCTTCCCAAAAAGAGCCAATAGCACGAGTGAAATACTGCAAAATATGCATTGCTAAGAAGTGGGGGGGGGGGTTCAGGGGGGAGAACTCCTATTGCTGAAAACTCATCAGCTGCCCTAATTCAAAAGCAGGGTCTCGAACTGCAAAGCCTAGCTAACTAGTAGAATGTAAATTTTGTATGCATGTAACTTTTCACAAATTATGCCAGGTAGGGCTAGTGGGACTGGATTAGATCAGTGATCCCCCAAAATGTTTTAGCCTGGGGGCACCTTTGGACTTCTGACAAAGCATTGTGGGTACAGCCACAAAACCACAAAATGGCTGCTACAGGAGGCTGCCGCAGTCTCCCTTCATTCACACAGTAAAGACTCTTGTGCTGTGGGGGCAGCTGCTGCCAAAGCAACATTTTTTAAAAATCTGCACAGTCAATCAAATCTCCAATGACCAATACGAAGCCTTGCTGGCCAAAAACCTTATTTGGTCCCATCCTCCTTCTAAAAACACTTGGCAGGTGCCAACAAAGGAGCTGGCGAGCGCCATTGTGCCCACAGGGACCATCTTGGGGACTCCTGGGTTAGATCCTCCTCTCTTCTCTGCGCATGCTGGCTGAGTGCACATGTAAAGGGTATACAACAGAAGTATGACATGATGGAGCGCATGTCTCAAAGGCTTGCCACATGGAGCTGCTATCACCTGACTGGTTGTGAAATGAGCGCCACATAGCTACTTCGTTGCATGCATCTGCCCCAGCGTCACAAAGCTTTGGTAAAACCCATGCTCTAATTCATGCTATAACTTGGTGGGTCTCAGGTTCTACTAGGCTTGCCAGTTAAAAGTTAATTTAATTTATTTAATATTATATTTCTACCGGCTCCTCCTCTTTTAGGAAGTTTGGAGCAGCTTCCAGAGAGCTTAAGTAGGGTTCCATCCAGGCCCGGATTAGTCCCACTTTCAGCTGCCCTGTAGTTTTTGGTGCTCGCTCCCAGAACACTTGCCACACCCAGTTTCAAGCCAATTCCGTTCAGACCAATGTCCCAAACCATAAAGAGAAAAGATGTCATTTACTGTACCTCTCCGTTAAAAAAGCAGAAGATCGTTGCTACCAACAAACCCTGTAGAATAAAACAGACAGTTGTTTAGTTTGATGGGAAAGATGTATTTAATGAAAGTTATACTTAAGTATGTATCATGGACATTGGATTGAGTCAAATATTTGTGACGGAACATTTCCTGTGCAAAATAAGGGTGGGAGAGGACCCTCCCCCAAGATTGGCTGCAGAGCTGGGGCCTTTTTTGTTTGAAATTAGACCTTCTTCATGGCTATTTGGCAATGTTACTCTTATCGGTGAGTTACTGTCTATTTGATGGGATGGGAATGCCTTTGCTCTTAGTTTCCCCTCAGTAATATTAGCTAGATGACAAAAGACCCACTCTCTGGAGCACCTGTGCCTGAATGCCAGTTGAGGGGAAAGAACGGATTGTGTCTGGGGCATGTACCAGCTACACAAACACTTCTGCCCCCATTTCACACACTCCTGAAAAATCACCCAAAGAGGAAAAATGTCAGGGCCAAGACGGAGCCTGTGAATACACCGCCTCATCTAAGGCATTGGTTCAGCCCAAAGAATGTTTGAAAAAAGGGCCTTTTTATTTGTAATATAAATACTTACATTAAAAAAAAATAAGATGCATTTTTGAGGAGAAAAATATCTAATTATAAAATCAATGGCGTTCCACTGACAGAAGAGGAAGAAAGAATTATAGCCCACCCCTTCACGTGGCTATCACTCCAACTAGGCCCCACTGCTTTGGGGAAAAACTTTTCCAAGGTCTGAAAAGGCTATGGGGCGGCGGGAGGGAGAGGGATCCACAACAGTCAGCACCTCCCACTGACGGATCCTTAGATCCAGTCCCCAGGTTCTTAGGCTTGGTCTATGAGAAAGTCATTAAGCTTCACTAAGAATATGACACACAGGGTTTCCAGCCTTCAGGTGGGGCCTGGAGATCTCCTGCTATTACACTTGATCTCCAGATGACAGGGATCCATTCCCCTGGAGAAAATGGCTGCTCTGGAGGATGGACTCGGTAGCATTGTACCTTGCTGAGGTCCCTACCCTCCTCAAACCCCGACCTCCTCAGGCACACACACCCCAAATCTCCAGTATCTCCCCACCCAGATGTAACTAGCAACTCTACAAATCCACTTTGGTGGACAGTGAACTATGGCCCTGGAGGGAGCCCGCTTTGAAATGAGGGAAACTCTTCATGAAATATGTCCTTTCCTTCCCATTGCCACTCCACACTTTTGGCCTTCTTCTCCATGAACTACAGTGCAGAACTGAAGCGGGGAATTCCTTTCAGAAAAAGGTCTGGTGTGGTTTATGAGTGATGTTTACATATGCAGTTCATTAAAATGTGTCTCCCCCTCCATTTCTTGACATTCCTTTCCCAGCAGCTGTGAACTACAAACGGTTCTTCAGAGTTCATACCTGATAGTGCATAAGAATATTGATTATATAGTCATAAATCTCTTCAGCGATACGGCCCTCTGGTCGCCAAGGCATCAACACAAACTCAATACCAAGAAGTGGCACCAAGATTAGGGTGGCTCTGACAGCTTTCATGTAGAGATTCGATTCCGCGCGGTGGGTGACTTTTAGCTTGGTTATCAGAACGCGGACAATGTTCAACAGGAAAAAGAGATTCACCTGGAAGGAGAGGAAATGCTTCCAGTTCAGTGTTGTTGTGAGGTAATCTGGTAATATAAACGCTAAGGCAGTTGAGCAGGCCACAAAGCCAGAAATTCTGTGGTGTGAGGCACTGCAAGAATTCTACTTATTTATTTTGTTCTACTTCTATCCCTCCCCCACCACCACATTTGTAGGCTCAGGGCAGGTACCAACAGATATATATGCACAATTTATGCAGATTTACAAATTAAAACATATTACAATAATCAATTAAAATCTATAAAATCATCAGTCTAGTTCCCTAAAATCATCAACATTTAAAACAACAATGTGCCTCAGTGGCAGATAGTGTGGTCTAGGGTTGCCAAGTCCGGCAAACTCACCGGCGGGGGAGGCTCCGATGGCTCCGGGAGCCGGCTCCGGATGTGCGTGCGCCGCCAGCACATCAACGGAAGTGACGTGCGACGTCACTCACATTGGGGGCGTGGCCCAGATCGTCGGGGCGAAAACCATATGGTTCCCCCCGGTGATCTTGGCCCCGCCCCCAACGTGACCGACGTGATTGCGTCACTTCCTTGGGCCAGGGACTACCAGGAGATGTTGAATGTGATACACAGCTAAAGTGTAAATGCAAGTAATCCAATGCGTTTTCAAGAAATTCATGGCCAGAACCTTGGAATGTGGGAGCAGATTTTCTTCTTAGAATCCACTTGACCACTGAAGTCATCTGAGGCCCTACATCGGGTGCTCCTGCCTTCTGAGATTAGGCGAGTGGCAACCAAGGAGACTGCCTTCTCAGTCACGGTGCCAAAACTCTGGAACCCTCTCCCCAGGGAGACTAGGGTTACCAGGTGTGGCAGAATGGGGACTTACCGGCAGCAGGGAACGACCTGCTGGCGGTGGAGGATCCTCTGCCCCCAATGGGGGAATGGCAAGCCTGAGGGAGACTTGTCGGTCCTGTTCTGTTGCCATCTTCCACCAGCAGGTGAAGACTTATTTGTTGCACGTGGCAGTCCTTCAGTGATCCCGCCCAATACCTTAATTGTTTCTGTATGAGTATCTCAACTCTGGTTTTAATGACGTGTTTTTGTTGGTTGTGATGCTTTTTAAAGTATGACTTTATTATATATATTTAAATTTGTTAGTCGCCTCAGTGGCCCTTCTGAGGGCAGAGAAGCAGGTTATAAATTTTGTAAAGTAAAAAAAAAAATCCCACTTGTTCTCACGGTTTCTCTTCACACTCTGGAAGCACAAGCACTACATACGCACATTTTTAAAATTAAATCTAAAATTTCGAGTTAAGTGGACTTGATTATTCCTGGCGGGAACAGGCCAACACTGTCAAAAACAAAAGGGAGGGAGGTGTTAGCCTCTAGAACCATGGAAAGAAGAAGAACGTCTCCAGACTCTCAGACTGTGATGTGTGAGTCAAACCTGAACTCAATAAACCATGGTCCTGGGAATTTCTTGATAGGAAGCCGCTACAGCCCTTAAAACCCGCAACTAATTTCAGCTTCTTTAGCTGAACAAGGCCTCCGATTCTGTTACACGGACTTATTTAGATTTAAGACCACTTAACTTCCTCGTCTAACTTCCTATTGTACACTCAGCAGCACGTCCTTCCTTCGTAGATTAAAATTAGCACTCTCCCCCCCACCCACCACTATGAAATAATCTTCAAAGACTCACAATTCAGATTTTTATTGCGGCCTTTTTGGTGCTTTCCTCTAGCACAGAGATTTTTTATTTATTTTTTTAAAAAGCACAGCCGAGTACTTTCAGAAGCTGTGAAAAGGCAGATTTTAAAGGGAAGCGCCACGCCAGGCTACCAAAGCTGCTCCTGTGGATTAGAGAGGCATGACAGCGGCCTGCTCTGCCTTGAACTCCTTTACATCAAAGAGGCAGTTTCAGAGGGAGCCACGCTGGGCGGCGGCCAAAGAGTTAGGTTTGAGTCCAGTAGCACCTTTGAGACCAGCAAGATTTTGGGGGTACCAGGCTTTGGAAAGTCAAAGCTCCTTATGACAAGGGTTGCCAACTCTGAGTTGGGAAATACCTGGAGATTGGGGGGGGGGGTGTGCAGAGACCTCAGCAGGATATAATGCCACAGAATCCATCCTCCAAATCAGCCATTTTCTCCAGGGGGACTGATCTTGGTCGTCTGGAAACTGATTGTGATAGCGGGAGATCTCCAGGTGCTGCCTGGAGGCTGGCAACCCCACTTATGCCCTGAAAATCTTGTGAGTCTCCAAGGTGCTACTGGACTCAAATCTAGCTCTCAGAAGATGCAGGATCTCAAAAAGGGTCTGAGAAGCAGAACTTCTCTCCTGAACTAGGTCCCGGTCACCAAGTTTGAAAGAACTTGGAACAAAAGCGTAGTCTGACTTGCTTCTCTCTACTATACAAACCTGATTTGGCTCACGTTTCTCACAATTTTTTTTTCCTAAACTGAAAAGCCCCACATCCTTCAGCTCCCAAACCGCTTGATCGTTTTGGTGGCCCGGACTGAATCTCAAGGTGGCCATTCGTTTATTTCCACTGGCGTGTCTTTCAGAGCTGCTTTTCTACAAAATTTAGAAAAGCAGCCCCCAACACTGAGACATAAAATCAAATTCATAACGACATTACTGTATACTTTGGCATTTTCTGTCCTAGTAAGTGCAAATGTTGGCTGGAAATGCTCATTATTTCTGGGCGTGTACAAAGGGGTCTTATTAACTTCATGGGCCGTTCACCAGACCCCCATGGGATATCATTCTGGGAGACCTGCCCCCATATACAGGAGAATAAGGGAGTTGGATCCCACTAGCTTTCCCCCTCAATCCTGCCCAATTTCTCTCATTGCAGCCCCCATCCGGCTCCATGCAGGTCCCATGAACTCCAGCAAAGCCTCTTTGGTAGTCAAAGGGGATTTCCTCCTTGTTCCAACCCCTTGTCCACACGTATAAGTTTCTTGTATTTTCACATTCAAGCAGGGCTATTTTTGGGCAGGAACGCTCAGGAACGGAGTTCCGGCTGGCTCCCAAGTTGGCCACGCCCAGGAGGAACTCATTAGCATAATAGACCACACCCAACAGCAGGAACTCATTAGGATTGGCTACATTAGGGGTGTGTGGCCTAACATGCAAAGGAGTTCCTGCTACAAAAAAAGGCCCTGGGTTTTGACAACAAACAAGGTAAACAGAATAACAAGCAAAAGGTGGGTGTGGCTGGATAACCACACTTCTGGTAACATGGGGGTGTGTGCTAATGTGCTAATGAGCTGTGCTATCCTGCTGAGTATGATGTATTGCCTACCCTGTTGTTATTATCCACACACTTTTTATACAGTGGAAGATTAAACTGGTGGCTGTATAGCAAAGGAAACATTAGACTTAAAATGAATGAATGTAGAAGTTGTTCATACCACAAGAGCAGCACAAATAGGACCATGGATGATATACAACATGTGAGTATCTGAACTGATCCAGCAGCTGTAGGGAGAGAAAGATAAAGTTAGGAGAGAAGAAATCCCAGTCCTTACCAGATAGATCAAATAAACTTGTGTTTACTTACTTGTCGTTGAAATATATGGCCCTTGCAACAGCGTGTATGCAGGAAGGAATCAATGGGAATCCTGTGCAAAACAAATGAGGCACTTCTTACTAAGAACTCTCAATAAGAACTCTAATGAGACAGGCATGGATTACTAATCATTTAGATAGGGTTGCCTTTTTGCCCACCACTGGCGGGAAAACCCCCATCAGCACTCCTCTGTCCCCCACTGGCACTCAGTGGGGCACCAGGAGAAAAAATGGGATGGGGGGGACCCTGTCCCATGATACCCCAAATGTCATTTCCAGCAATGGTCAGTTCCAGCTACAGAAGTGATGGCACCATGTCCCAGGAGGCTCTGGGATTCTGGTTATGCACCCAGAAGTGACGTCTCAGGATGCTGTTAGGGTAAGCACCCCCCACCCCCCCCGGCGGAGATTTCACGTCTCAGTAAACTAAAATTCTACAAACAAACAAATCTTTGCAGAGCTAGTGCACTTCAAAGTAAATTGGCCTGAATGACCCAAAGTGATTGTTTTTAAAAGCTGGGGGGACAGAATACATTTTCTTGATATTGTTAAGTCAGCCAACTAGGACATCTTATTAAATTGCAGGGGTCACCGATCTTTAATGGGAGCAATTTCTGAGTAAGGAAAAACATCTCAAGCTATCACCTCCGTTCCCGCCCCAGCATATTCTATAGTTTTGTTCTGTCCTAGAAACAGAACATGGACTAGGAGGAGCACCCAAAATGAAGCTATCAGCTGAGCAACATAGAGAAAAACCCAAGAAATAAAGCTTTAAAAAAAAAATCCTACCGCAGATCTTTTCCCGGTCTTTTAGGGCAGGCATGTAGGGTTGCCAGCTCTGGGTTGGGAAATACCTGGCGATTTTGGGGTGGAGGCTGAGGAGGGGAGGGAATTCAGTGGGATATAAATGCCATAGAGTCCACTTTCCAAAGCAGCCATTTTTCTCCAGGTGATCTCTGTCGCCTGGAGATCAGTTGTAATCAGGGGTCATTTCGTAGAAAAAGAGGTGCAGGAGCTCATTAGCATAACATATTTGCATATGCCACACCCCCTGACATCACTGGAAGTGTGTCAGATGGCAACACCCACCGTTCAGGCTCCACTGGACTGTTTTGGATTGCTAGCTATTGTGTGTGTGGGGGGGAACGTGCAGATCTGTCCTTGCAGAGGAGGGAGAGCTTGTATCTGAATAAAACTTGGCCTTAAAGGTGCCACTGGACTGTTTTGGACCGAGGGGCCGAGGGCTCTGCAACTTACCTGGCTGCTTCTTGCTCTGACTGAGGACTGCTGAGAGCAGGGGGTGGGGCTTGTTGCATGTGCCCGCCCCCTGGGCTCTTTACTGCCGGAGCGCCACTCCTGTGTGCTCCTGCAGGAAATGACCCCTGGTTGTAATGCCAGGAGATCTTGAGTCACCACCTGGAGATCATGCAAAAGTATATAGTACTGTGTATAATACATGTATGTTCCTTGAAGATGTACCTTGAATATACATCTATTATACACAAGATGTACCTTGAACATACATGTATTATACACAGTGCTATATACTTTTGCATATCTTCCTAACACTGTGACCCTCAGTTTTTGTATTTTCTACCACCTGGAGATTGGCAGCCCTACACTCACAAGCTCCTCTGAAACAACGGGTAAAGTCCTGGTAGCTCATGAGCTACCTGTTGGAGACCCCTGCTCTGTTACTTTTGTTTTAGTTGCAGAAGGAAATGACTTTAATTTTTTTTAAGTATTAGACATTTTCTTTCTAAATTTTGTGTGTGAATGTAATTATGTTATATATCTATAATGCCTGTTAGCCATTCTGGGAGTCAAGATGCAGCAAATATATTCTTTAATAAAATAAAAATAATGTACTGCACTAATAGGGTTGTCAGCCACCAGGTGGGAGCAGGGAAACCCCCGATTTTGCGGGCTCCTGCCCACTGTTGGCTTGCTGGCCAGCGGGGGAATCCCCGCCCCCAACAGCCACGACCCAGTGTGACATCCTCAATGTGATGCTGTAACACAGAAGTGATGTCATCACGCTGGGGACATTGCATGGTGACTCTCTGGTATTTTGGGCAAAACTCTATGGTAACAGTTATTAATATTCATTAGTCTTCTATGATGTAAAATACCGACACTTCCGAGGAAGAATTGGAAACCGCATACTGAAATGCTTGTCAAGTCATTCGCAATTCTGTATCCAGTCTCTCTAGTCTTACCACTTCCAACTCTCACTGTTGGACCGATCATGTAATTGTACAGTTGAAGTGTTATACTTTCTGTGCTGATTATTCCAGGATGGATTTGACACTCATGAGTTGTTAATTTTGATACCTTTTATGCATTTTTGATGTCTATGATTAGTGTTTGGAACACAGATATTCTTTGCTAATGTTCATACATTTATTGATAATTCTGAATGCAATCATTTACTGCAAAAAATTGGATTTTGATATTGTTTGACACGGTGACTCTCTATGGCAATATACCCCACTGAAGTCCCTCTCCTCCCCAAGCCCCACCCCCTCAGGCTCCACCCCCCTAAATCCCCAGGTATTTCCCAACCCAGAGCTGACAACCCTAATCATAATACATTTTGTAGCCCTGAGCCCAGTTTGCCAGAGGTATGAAGTTACAGAAAACCCAAAGACAGTGCCTGCAAGCACATTTAATATTTCGTGACCTTTCATGGGGCTGGAGTCCAGTCCTGTCATGGCTCAGGTTGGGTGACACCTAATGCTGCCACCTAATGCTGCCACCACTCTGGTTTTAGGAAGGCAAAGAGCACCCTCCCAAGACCTTAAGCCCTCCCTTATTTGGCCAATTAATAGATGTGAGGACCAGGCAGAGTAAAGAACAAATAAAAGGTTTATTTTTACAGGAGGTCAGCCCAATATGGGAAACAAACAAAGCGCAAGAACAATAGCACTAAGTGGGTGAAGAGAAAAGAAACCAAATACCCTAATCCGACTAGACTCACAGTCCCTAGCTCACTGTCTCAGTGGGGTCTACTCACCCTTCCTCTCAGGGTGAGGGTCTCTTCCAGCAGCAGCCTTCCCTCTGGCCCTGCTCTCTTGGAAGAAAGAACAGCTCTTCTTCTGTACCAGCTCTTTTATTATAAGTCCCCTTTCTCTGTGATTGGCTAAAATTGGCGCCAAAACCACTCAGGGGCTTCTGGGAGTTGTAAGCCTGGCCTCCTCCCACTGCTACTCAGGCTTCCTGGGTCTGCTAGGCCTTTACTTGCACAGCCCAGATCATGACAAGCCCCATGAAAGGTCACGAAATATTAAATGTGCTTAAGTCTTTAAGATATTGCAGGCACTGTCTTTGGTTTTCCTACACAGATGTTCTTCCTGGAAGCTGTCAAGAAGAGTCACAATTGCCATGTTGACCTGGAAAATAAAAGCCCTGTTTGCAAGCTCCAGTTTTAGCACAATTAAGTCTTCTGTTTAATAAACCTCCCTTGATTGAATACGTCTGTTTTAGTTACTGGTGACTAACACGCGGCTTTAGCCTCCGATGGATAAGCCCGGCTGAGAACCCCCTGGCCACAGACAAGAATTTCCCCCAGATTTTGCCATGAGACCATCTAGTGAAAGCCGTTAGGCAAACGTTTTAAGTGCTTTGCTGGAGCGCAGCCCATAAGAGAAAAAGCACGAACACGTTTTAACTCAATTGTACTCGTTGTCGACCAATAAAAAATGATAACAACAGACACGGTCACAATCCCATGAATTGCTGCACAATGGTGGAAGCAGCCATGTCCTCCTTGAAAGAACTGTGAGGTTCCAATCTTGGCCTTTAGTACAAAATGCAGGGAGACCATGAACTCAAATGGACACGCTGTTAAGACGGCTTTTGCTGCAGAAAATTCTGAAGGACTATTCTGATGCTCCGACTGTTGCCAGAAAGAGATCCTCCTTCACTGCTCCTTTTAACCCATTTTGTATTTTTAAATTAAAAAGTATAACCCCCCCCCAAAGGGAAGAGAGGTGAACTTGCTAGATTTGTTGACATATTTCCTAGAAATAACTGTAACATTAAGAAATAACTATAAGATTAATTATAGACATCTTGATTTGCTTAAGATGTCCCTTATTATTAATGACTGGACTATAGTTGGCTCTCCAAGTAGTAAAAAAAACCTCCATGACCACCAAAGGAAGATCTGAGACAGTTCTAGGAATAAAGAATGATTTTATATTTAAACAGCTTAATTTTACAAAAAATGTTTTCCAGACTATAAATCAAACTGGGATGAAGCCCTGAAGAGCCTAATTAAAGTGACTCTTTAGAATGTCTACGAGCATGAGCATGCATACACTGAAGCAGCTGGCAATTTCTATGTTAATATCACTTTTAAGGCTTTTAAATAGGCTTACCAGGTGCCTGCTAATGGCAGGCCACCTCTTGGTAATTGTTGCCAACGGCTGCCAACACTCATCTGGTCGGCAGGAAGAAGCAGGCCACAAAACAGGTGGCGGCAATTTTTGTCTCTGTGTGATGATGTCACTTCCAGCGAGACATGAAAGTATCGCACCAGGACGACAGGCTAGCACTCGCCCAGAAACTTCTGGGTGAGTGCTAGAGCATTGTCCCGGTGTGATGCTGATGCTTCTGGGTAATGCTGGAAGTGATGTCATCACACAGTGACAGAGATCGCCATCAACACCCCCCCCGAGTAAGTACCTGCCTCCCCTCCCCCGTCTCCTGCAGGTTGCCGGGCTATCAACCCTATTTTTAAAAGACAAAAAGGGAGGCTATTTCAAAACAATGTGTAAATAAGACAGTGTGGTGTGTGTAGAGTTTTTGCTAGAACTGCGGAGACCAAGTCCAGATCCCTATGAAAGTAATTCGGTTGGAATCCAGAGCAAAATTGCCCGTGAGAGCACTGGGGTCTAGAAGCGTCAAGGGCAGAGGTCTGGGGCGGTGGTGGGGCATTTTGCCTCCACACC